CTGTGTGTAATTRTCAGTGTCTCTCCTGCTCCTGGAATGGCTGGGCACAGTTTCACCTGGTGCTATGGAATACCTGGGCTATTGTGACAACTCTAGACCCGCCTGCTTTCTCGATGTAACCATGTGCAAAGCCTGTCAGATGCAATGAAATGTTCTGCTGTGTCAAAGCACAAGAGAGCCAATGAATGGATCCTGTCTCTTGACTAGCTCCTGCAGCTTAGGGAAGTGTCTATAAACTCCAGATTGTAATGTTTCTGTAGCTTTACTTTCTCAAYGACTTCAGCATATTTAAAGGGACAGCCTTGTTAAGACTGGTTTGTTCATCCAGCAGTGTCAGTGTAGCTACTCGTGTGTGCAGATCCATGGTGCAGCTGCTTGCGTTGCTCACACTGTGTGTGATTCCTCACCTCCATGTGGTTTGCATCCCGGGGCAGTCCTTGGCTGGGAGCACCAGCAGTGCTCTCAATTCTGACAAGCCAGTGCTCTCAGTTCTGACAAGCCAGTGTTCATGCAGACTGCCATGGCCTTACTGTCCTGTCCCAGCTCTGCCACTGTTGCACAGACACTACACGCTGCCTGCCTTCAGTCAGAAGTTGCATTTTAACTTTTTGTCCCCTTTCAGTTCTCTGAAGCATGATTTCAATTAATCCATACTCTGGTGCTGTAGAGGAGAGGTTGTATTAACTYGCTACTGTAGTCCTGAGTTCACCAGAACTGCTACAGTTACTTTTATTTAGCAAACTTGCTTGTGCCTATAATAAGGAAACTAAACTAGAATGTGTAAATCTTTGTGGGGGACCAGGTCACTGTTTAGTTAACTGGCCTATAGCTAAACTTGATGTGTTTGGTGTTTATCTACTTCACTGCTTTCAGCGTTTCTGGCATCCAAACACTACCAATTGTTAACCTGTGCATTACTCTCTGCATGTGAACAACTTATWCAATTACTGAACTTTGTAAATACGTGAATTTTTTTATTTAGGTGGATGCATATGTTGGTTTACTGCTCTCCAGCTTTATTCAATAAACTTATGTTTTGAGGGTTGTATTGACACTTAACTGACTGACTTGAGTTGGTGTGGCTGAACTCATGGAAATACATGATGGGATGTCTGTCTCCTCTGCCAAAGATGACAGTGGGGGAAAAAGGATTGGAAAATACCTGAGCTGATTTATATTCTGTGGTTCCAGTGAAATGCTCACAAAAGTACTTTTGAGGCCTGGGGCTTGCTCACCTTACCTGAGCAAGCTCAGATAGTCAGTCTGAGCAGATTTCAGGGCTTTTTTGTGTTTGTGAAGAGTGCTGGTCWGTTGAAGGGTCTGAAGTAGATGCAGGTCTGTTTCCAGGAGAGAAATGCATGTGTCTGCAAGCTTGGTTCTTGTGGCAAGYCTGGAGTAAAACCTTTTGTTTTTCTAGCACAAGTGTCAGATCTTGCAGTGCCTGATCATTCACTGCCAATTTAATCAGAAAGATTCTTATCTCGGTGGAAAGTGAGGCTTTTGTTGGTGAGGTCTTGAACAAAATCTTTGCTGTGAATTTAATCTGAAGTTTCACTGACTGTTCTTCCCRAAGGTTTTTGTTGTATTAATTTCTCTTAGGACGCTGTTTAATTTGTAGGACTGTCTGTCAGCATTGTTCAATTAACAGTAACAAATTGGATGCCTTGTTTCAGGCTTGTCTCCCTGTAAGCTTTGAAACTTGAGCTGTATCATGTTAGTGTTTAGTCCTGAGTGCAGGTCTTGGAGCATCCTTCAGTGTAACTCAGCTGATGGGAAGGATTAGTGAGCTGTTAAATATCATGTGTGTATTTCTTTGGGAGTTTCCTGCATGCAAAACAAACTCCCTGGAGTTCACAGTCAAACTAATATGTCTCTAGACACGAATCTGAAAACAGTGTTAGTGCACAGAGCCTTGTCAGGCTGGTTGGTGTGATACCAGTACCTGTGATAAAGCAGCTGTGGGATGAAGTGGCCCACAGCTGTTTGCTTGATGTGGTATTTCAGTGAGAGTTTCTGTTTCTGTGTGTAAATAGCAGGGAACACAGGGTCCCCCTATGATGTGTGTGTTCTGAACATTATTGTACATTTGCAGTACTGCACAGAATGGCCCCAGCTGGGTTTCACAGCTCTTCTGGTACTGCCACGTGCCCTTGGTCACTCCTGTAGCAGAAAGGAGACCTCAGGGTGGCTGTTTGATTCCAGTGCACAGGGATAATTTGATATTTGATATAATTTGATAATTTTGAAATGCTTCAACTTGTTCTGTTTCTGGGCTTGAGTAACTTGCCAGATACCTTTCCTTTGGAACAAGGGAAGTGTAGGAAGTGTTTCCTTCTCAACACCTTTCAGCCTTGGACTGAAAACAATGCTTATCTGGCACATATTGTCCAAGGTTAAATCTTTTCTGTCCTAATAAAGGTGTGGAGCTCAGGACAGGCATCAGCAGTGGTGTTTGCTGAACTTGGATGCTGTAGCTGTGTTCATCTAAAAATGTTATTTCACCATGATTACTTGTTTCAGGCCCCATAGTGAGTGTGGACAGTTAAAAGGGGCTGATTGAATTTCCCATTTTCTTAACAAAAGTTGCTTTTGGGGATGCATTTTAGTAACACRAATCACTGCACTTGGCATCAATAGCCATAGTCCTGAAATTCTCCTCTGAGRTAGGTCTTGACTGTTGGCAGATTAGAAAAAGCAGCTCTTGTGAAAAGGCAGTTACTGAGCCAGAGAGAACTCGTGGTGGTGAATGTACCTGGAAGTTAGACAGCAATCCTACCTTTGTGASCTCGTGGGCATTGTGTGCTGTCCTGGGGTTTAAAATCAGCTCCCAGTCCTTGSTGGTGGCTCTGTTCAGTGCAAGTGCTCCTGGCACAGCAGTGACGAGATGAGGAATGTTTGTGCTTGTCCCCACAGCTCTGGCTTGTGAGAGTTGTCCTTGGAGTGTCCCTGTCCTTTGAGTTTCAGTGTGGACAGTGGTTCCTTGAGGTGCAGTTCCAGAGCAGAGGAGTTCTCCTGAACCAGGGACAGCTGAGGGGCTGAGCAGGAAACAGGAAAAATGCACAAAGGTGGAGCTGTGTCATGATCCATGGGATAATAGTCCAGTTTCTCAGCGAGTTATGTTTTTTCTTTGCATCTTGGTGGAAGCAGGTTGGAAAGATGGATCTTTTGGGTGCTGACATATCAAACCGCATAATCTTCACTTTCTGGTAGAAGAAAAGGCCAAAGAAAATGCCTTAAACAGTCTCTCCGTTTATTCTGGGAATGTTGTGCAGGGATCTGTAATAACCTGAAGTATGGCTTAGCAGGATTATCAAGCTTTTAACTTGCCTGAGGTTTCATTTGTCGTTGCCGTGGCTGTGCGATGGCACGTCCTGGTTTGCTTTGTGCAGGAACTGTGCTCCCCCAGCATGCCCAGCACTGCTCCCCTGCCTTGCTCGTGCACTGACCCTGATGAGTGGATTCCAAAAACGGGGTGTAAAGCACGATATTTAGGCTGTGTTTCTACGCTGACAYGGACAATGAATCATGTTAATGGAAAAGTAATGTGTGAGTGTTTGAGCCTCATGTTGCCAAAAAGTGAGTGTAGAACAGCTTGGCTCACCAGATCATGGCCCTTCAGTGAGTGCTGGATGTGAAGCTGTGTCTTGGTGAGACACAGGGGTTTTCTCTTACGTGTCACTCAAATGGCAAACACAGAATGGCAGTYAGAGGGGCTTTGCACATACTCTTTCAAAGGAGAAGTGAAATACTTGATGTTTTTATTTCCCTCCCAGTGGAAGGTGGGTAAGTAGACCTTTGTGCCAGGATTAGTGCCTTTTAATTACGACATGACAGGTTTTATTCTGTTAAAGGCAACATCTATCATTGTGATAATTTTGAAGTGCTTCAATAAAGTGTTGTTGAAAACCATTTTTTTGCATGTTCATCTGTAGCAGGACAGCTGCTTTTATTATTGTCAGAAATATCTAAGAACCCTCTATCAAATTGTGAGAAACATTTGGGTAGCTTTACATAACTTAATTTGGACAGTGACTGTAAACTTTGTGCTCAGAGGGGGCAACTTTGAGAAGTGAGTGTTTCTGTGACCCAGGAAGGCCAAGGTGCCACCTRAGGGGTGAGCGGGGCCGGGCTGCTGGAGCTGTGGGTCACAAAATCTTAGGATCACTAAGGCTGGAAGAGATCGAGTCCAGCCTGTGCCCCATGCCCACCGTGTCCCCAGCCCAGAGCACTCCGTGCCACCTCCAGGGATGGGCACTCCCAACCTCCCTGGCCATGGATAACTTGTCCAGCCGCTGTCACCGCCACCCCCGGTGCCTTTCCCAGCTGTCCAGCCGCTGTGTCCCAGGCTGGAGCGTTCCTGGCCGGTTGTGACCGCAGGGCAGGGTCCGGCCCTGTCCTGTCCTGTCCTGTCCGGGGAGGCCGCGCCGCTCTCCGGCCCCGCCCTGACCCCGCTCCCGGGCCGTGCCACGACAGCCCCGCGCCGCCCCGCCCCTTTAACGCCGCCGGGCGCTGCCCTTGAGTGACACACCGCCGGACCAATGGCCGCCCGCCGCCACGCCGCCTCCACCAATAGAAGCGCGGCGTGGGCGGGCCTCGCGCCGCTCCCAGCCCGTGTTTCCTCTCCGCTCTTAAAGGGGCCGCGGCGCGGCGCGGGTGGCGCCGCTGCGCTATGCGCGGGCGGCCATGCGATGGYGGTCGGTGGTGCTGGGGCTGCTGCTGCTGCGGCTCGGGCTGCAGGCACTGCTGGCGCTGCTCCCCGCGCTG